ACCTCTATCCCCAAGATCCTTGCCATCTTTCTGGGGAGTAGCAGAAGTATCTCTTTCTCTGGCTGCATTCTGCAGTTCTACTTCACTTTTTCTTTTGGATGCACTGAACAGTTTCTGATAGCTGTGATGGCTTATGACAGATATTTGGCCATATGCTATCCTCTGCATTACAGCACCATCATGAACACCAGCCTGTCTTGTAGGTTGGCCCTTGGCTGTTGGCTGGGGAGCTTCCTGATTATTGGCATACCCGCTTACCTGGTTACAAAACTATCCTTCTGTGGGCCCAATGTGATCGATAATTTCTATTGTAACCTTGATTCCTGGATCCTACTCTCATGCACAGATACTCGTTTCATTGAGCTAACATTTTTTTTCATGGCTAGTATTGTCATTGTAGGCTCCTGTATGTTGACCCTCCTTTCGTACACATACATTATCTCCACAATCCTGCGCATCCCTTCCACCAAAGGTCGACAAAAAGCTTTTTCCACATGTTCTTCCCACCTTGCTGTGGTGATCATTTGGTATGGCTCCACGATCTTCCTCTTTGTCAAGCCTTCGAAAGCGACCACTTTAGAAAAGACCAAGGTAGTGAGCATCTTCAGCATGATTTTGGTCCCACTGCTGAATCCTCTCATCTATACATTAAGAAACAGAGAAGTCAGGGATATTCTGAGGAATGTATTTCCCACGTGATGGACAAAATGTAGGTTGATCTGAAAAGACTCAGAGATCTTTAAATTAGAGGTATTTCCTCTAAATTTTGGATTTCAATTCTTGCAGTAGGCAGGAATACCAGATTTACCAGCACTATTTGGATCAATCTGCCTTGCTTATGTTTTCATTCTGCACTGATTGTGGAAAATACATATGTTAACAATTGTATTTTTGTCCTCTCAATATAATACCTGACATTAAAAAAATGTTTTGAGTCACTTATCAAAACTGAGTAGAAATGGAAAAAATGGGATTGTGCTTTCCCTTCTTTCTTTCTTTCTTTCTTTCTTTCTTTCTTTCTTTCTTTCTTTCTT